GTTACGAACTGGTAGAATAGTTTAAAAAAAAAATAATAAAATAAGACCACCCATCAGCTTAGCGGAGCAACTGGCGCCATTCATGCTTTTCTTGTTGGTAATATAATTCCCACCCTCAACACTTCGAGACTTGTTGAAACTCAGGCCAGTATTGATCGCATTTTTGCAACAGGTTATCTACAACTTCCCATTTTCATTCATGTTCTCAGTGTGAATGTAAATTTTTTAATATATAGCTACTACAATGGCGAAGATATGTTAGAAGTAAAAACTTTTTCTTTTGATATCAATTTCCCTGATAGTTATTCGAAATAGCGTTTATGATGTTAGAATACTTTAAATGCGTACATCATAATGTTGAAAGCGTTTTATACATTAGATAATATACAATATGTTCCGAATTGGTGCTGCTTTTACGAAAAAAAAAAAAAAATTTGACAAAAATACCTAGTCCATGTGTTAGATAATATTTTATAACGGGCTACAAGTAATATTTCCTTATATTAGTTTTAACAAATTTGTATTTACCTAGCCATTAAAATTTTCACAGCCTATCTATTCATTTGGAAAAAAAGTTAAGGGAAGAAAATTTAATTCAATTTTAAGTAACCCATTTTTCTTTGATATGCATTTTCAGATTGAAAATTCATTCGTTACTATTTTCTAAATCGCGTTCGCAATGATTATAGGTAAACAAAAACGTTATTGTCGTCCACGTCGGCCCGAAAAGGCCTTCTACAAATTTATCGTATAAAACAGGCAGCACCAATTTTGAATATTCTACGCAACAAAAAAGCATGATTTTCGCTAAAAACCGTTTCAATATTTAAGTAAGTGAAAACCTTGAATTTTGCCTGTGATTGTTTATCAAAAATTGGATAACAACTTCAGAAGGAATATTCAAGGATTTTACTTTCGGAGGATATGTATAATGATTGAATGGCATTCTGACAAGCTGAACGGCATCTTTTGTAACTGGAATTGAACATGTTTTTGGGTCAAAGGTGAACAACTTTTGCAGTACAGATTATCAGAATAGTCAAAAGTTATAGTTTTGCCAGTTAATTCTGCTATCTCATTCTAATCAGTCAATGTTCTAAAGAACTAAGCACGTTAAGGGTCAATATAACAAATTAATTAAATCCATTTTACATATAGATACAGGTGCAGCGCAGAAGTCTTCTTAAAAAAGAATACTTCCCTCCAATATTCTCTATTTAAAGCGAAAAACCATCCATGTCATTCTGAAAATTACACCCAAAATAATATTGTATTTTCAATTTAATTTCGCGTCAATTCGCTAATCAAATGAAATTAACAGAAAATATCGATGATATGGAACTTTTTAGGGTCCAAAAATATGTATAAATAAGTAAATAATTTTAAAAATAAATTAGTGGAAGTTCAACCCAAATTAATGTTTTCGTAATGACACACAGATTGATTTGTTTGCGAAGATTATTAAACACGAGCCGCCACTGAAATAAACATTTTGAAAAGGATTATAGAATTTCTCAGGGAAGTCGTACATGTTATTAATATACACGAACACAAAGAAAATCAGTAGGCAGCAGCCGTGATGATAAACTTGACAAAATGGGAATTTCGATTAATTTAATAACTTACGTTGAGGGAGCTCATATCATAATATGAAGACCTGTGTGACTTGTAATAGGGTATTTCCTTGCTGTAGTAGTCTTGTGGTTGATATTCTTCTTGAGAAACTCTGGCAGCTTGTGCTAAGATATCAGGAAATGCTACAATTCCTTCTCGCACCGGGTAATCACTTTGTTCGTCGTAGTTATATTCTGCATCTGACATAGCTCTGAAAAGAAATTTTGACGATCGAAACGTTGTTCATCAAAAAATGTAATATCTCTGCTTTAATTATGAAACGATTGGAAAAATGTAGTTTTATGATTTCAAATGTAAGTCAACAAATTTTAAAAGTCAACTGCAACTTAGACTACGTGAAATTCTGTTTTATTGCAAAAACCTAGGAGTTTGGGCTCTGTGCGTCGATATATATCAGTCAGTCAGTTTATCCTTTTATTTATCAAATATTAATGTGGAAATTCATTTTCCATTTAAACCAACTATAAATTAATGAAGAAAAAATTGTTGCTATTGTGACACCCTCGCCGGGAATCGAACCCTTAGTGGTCAGAGCATTGGTGCGTAAAGCCAAAGGTCCCGGGTTCGGGTTTTTGACGTTAAATTCATCAACCGTACGGTANATTTAATAATTTGCAGCTGCTGCTGAGTTGCCCTTAGAATTCGTCAATCTGCTTAAAACAGCCACCCAAGAATTAGTTTTTAATTCAAATTTAATTCGATATGGAAATACGTAACTTGGTCTATAAACACGTAGAAATTAAATTCGCTGTTAGAAATCATCCGACGCTAATTACTGTGGATACATACGGATCCATATTTGAAAAAAAAATATATTTTATTAAACTTTACAGTTAATAATTACTGCCCCTTACATTTTTTTAAGTTTATGAATAATTAATTTTTAAAAAGGGATCCCTCAGTTAGCGTTTACATATTTTGTTGGGCAGGCAGGTACTTTCGAAATTTTTGCTGCGGAGTATTCGAAATATTTCATTACCAAACGGAACAGGTGGCTCAGGACCTGTTCTCGGAACGAGAATGTGAACAAAGTAAGTTCATTTTTTAACCATTGTGTACAGTTAGCGCGTGCCGTGTTTAGGACACCCCAGGGACGTTTTCAGACCGGCTCTCCGGAGTTCCAAACTGTATTAGTTGAGTTAAACCCATTTATGTAAGGGTGCACTAACTGTAGTGGGGTCATGCTCTACTGAATTAAAGGCAATTGTTCCCTCATTAAAATCAATTATAAAAAGCAGTACTCGTTATAATGTCGCTCTCTACAGAATATTAGCTCAGCGGTTAATATGATATTTTAAGTTGCCGACCAAGCAAAATCTCTGTAACGTTGTTGTAGTGTTCCATTCTGAGAATTAAATATTTTATGTCGTATTTGTAATAATTTCTCCAATCAAGACGTTCATCAAAAACCACACACAGAAATTATATCTTCTACCTCCAATAATAACTATAATAAGCAATTTTCTCAAAATAGAAAAATAACTGTGTTAAGTGCCATTTTCACATTCATAAAAACTTACGATCAATTTGATAAACCAAAAGGGTTTTTGTACCTATAATCTACTTTGAGCAATTTTAATTATTGTTTGCATACACCACAAACAAGATTAATAAATACAGGTACTTGTCACAATAGGGCCCTGACATTTTTTTTATTTTAGAGTGACTGTTCCTGGCTATCAAGGAAACTTAAAGGCAGCAGTTCAACATACAGCATCTGCAGCAGCCTGGGAGCGTTTTGGCGTAGAACTAATCCTTACTTTTCTCATAGTATTAACATATTTAATGTCGATAGATTCTTATAATAAATACATGGGAAGTACATCTCTTACGATCGGGGCATCATATGCGGCGTGTTCATTTGTTTCCGTAAGTTTTATATTCGAACCTTAAGAATATCGTAATGCCAAATTGATTCTTCCGTTGTAGATGCCTTATTTAAATCCGGCACGAGCATTGGGACTTTCGTTTGTTTTAAGTAAATGGGAAGGTCACTGGGTCTACTGGATAGGTCCTCTACTTGGAGGTATTACCTCAGGTCTTCTCTACGAATACGTTTTCAATAAGCAGAGGACGAGTCGTCCCAAGGATTCGGCCGATGGGGATTCGTCGAGCATAAACTCAGACGAAGATACTTACGACGATTTAGACAAACCTGTTGGTACAAAATTCACTGGTTCCACTTACAATAGTTATAGACCAGCAGGAAGTAGTAACGCGGGAGTTAGCTACTGCGCAAGTCTTACATCCGCAAGTCTATATGCCGCTCCTCCAACAAAATTGGAGAGGGTCGAATCACTTTATGGAGGAACAAAATCCCTTTATTGCAAATCTCCACCTCTTACAAGAGCCAACCTAAATAGATCACAATCCGTCTATACGAAATCTAACAGCGGTTCAAACAAAGATACCCTTCCTCGATCTGGACCATTAGTACCAGCTCAATCATTGTATCCGATCCGTTTAAATCAGCAGCAAAATCACGTACAGAACCAAAACGTCCAAAATCAATTGCAACAAAGATCAGAAAGTATTTACGGAATTAGAGGAAATTCTCAGCGTCCAGAGGGTGCTTATGGAACAAGTAATGGTAATAATGGCCCTTTTCAGGGAAGAAGTACTAATACTACCACCGCAACCACTGATAAGTATGAAGATACGCAAAAACCGACCAGAAATAACAGGCCCGAATCTATGTATGGAATGAGTCAGAGTAGAAGAGGGCAATCAGCGCAGTCTGATGATTCCAGTTACAGTTCATATCATGGATCAGTTTCACGTAGTAATACAGCTAACAGTACTTACAATGGGCCAACTAGCAATTTTTCTAGTAAAGGCAGTAATGGTGGAAGCAGCACTTATGGCGTGAGATCCGATATTAGGAAATCCCCGCCCACACAGTTAATCACTGCTACTCCACATAGCGCATCTTATCATCATAATAATTTGCCACAACATTCCCCTTCATCTCAATACTAATAGACTTTGTGTATAGAAAGGCACGTTAGTTACGTATTTATCATTGTGAATATATGTAAAGTTACCTATAAACGTTCTTAAACGTAATAATAAAGTAATATAAGGTTTTGACTGGTATTAATATTATATATAAAAGAAGTTATGAGTTCTGTCAGCACAGGGCAAAGTAGTATTACGTGGTTAAAATCAGCAATTTTTTATGCTGAAATGTACGATGTGTTGCATACCTATTTACAAACAATTCCTTTAAATTTTAATCGTTGATTACTATACATCTACTAAAAAACCATAATGGCCGACATCAGTAACAATGCAACAACAATTGAAAAAGAATGATGGCCGACAACTGCAACAATTAGAAAAGAATGATGGCCGACACTACGTCATAGTGTAGCAATAAAAATGGCCGGGGACAGGGGAAGAACTAATTATTATAAAATAATTGATTACCGTGCGTGGGCATTTAAAAGTGATCACCTGTATATTAAATATACACTCGGTTTGAATATAGGCAACTTCTTTTAAGCCTGAATGTTAACGGGTAGCATACTATACAGAAATAAAGAGTGTCAACTTAACCTGCAATAAATGTGACGTTTAGATAACATCGTCACTTTTAGCAATGTGTTTATTTAAATTAAATGATATTTAATGGCAAAATGGCAAGACCTCATACGAATTATGAATATAATTCGTTAAAAAGTGAAGATTTTGAAATCGACTTGAAGCCTGAGGAAACTAAATTAGAGGTTTGTCTATTATTTATTTTTTTACACTTTTATGAATAAGGAAACTATGTTTTTGCATATTTAGCTTTATGATGACCTGGAAGAACACGTTGAGGGTGAAATTAGAGTTCCTGGGAGCAAAAGCAACGCAAAATTAGGAGAACCTGGGTTCAACTCATTAGATGAACCAATAAAAGAGACCATAGTAAGAATGCCCTTATCAAAACTTTGTGTCAAGTTTCATCTTATTGTTTTTATAGCTTAGAGATGTTAAAATAATTGGTATAAAGTTTTTCTATGTATTATTCCCAAGAGAGAAAAAGACACTTTTAAAGGAATGTAAGTAATAAATAGTGTTTAATGTGTCTTATAATTGAAATCCTGGATGTTGTAGGGGACCTATGGGGACCTTTAATCATATGCACATTCATGGCAATGTAAGAAAATAGTTGTATTACAATTCTTTCAGTAATAAATTAATTTTTAAGGATATTACAAGGCTCTAGAGTAGATAAATCAAATGATGGAGGCCCTGAATTTGCCGAAGTATTTATTATTGTTTGGGTGGGTTCTATGATTGTAACGCTCAATTCCAAACTTTTAGGGGGACACATGTAAGTAATCTTTATTACATTAATTTGTTTAATAATCAGTACACAGACACAATACGGTTGTTTGAAGTTTTACATTTTATTTTTGACCATCTATTAAGACATTCATATAGATGTATTAATAGTTATAATTAAAATTGCGATCAGTGTCATGTTTTATACAAGGGTGAGTGAAGATGATCTATTAAAACTAAACTTTAAGAACANCCTGGGAAAATGTTTATGGGTCTTATGGTTGTTGAGGCAACTGTTGTAGCCCCTATTGAAGGTCGTGCACATGAGACTGTAAAAGTATTTACAGGTACTCAATTAACAATTAAAGAAGCTTTAACAAGGTCTATTGTCAAAAGTCTAACTTTTGCAATACCCCTTTGCTTTGCTATACTGTTTTTCAAACACAACCGCACTGGTTATGATTTAATGTCCCATACTATTGTTGTACAGTACAATCCAAATCCCCCTCCTGCAATATTATTTTAATTTAAAGTTTTGTACATGTATATTTTACCTACTTAAATTTTATAGAGGGACCATAAAATGTATCCTCAATATATGTGATTATATGTATACTTAAATACTGTACCATACCTTTTACGTTTGGTTTTTTTTTTGTTACTTCATACTTAATTTTTTTAATAGTCATAGTATACCAAAACTATTGTAAATGTAATGTATTTTGTGATTAATAAAGACGCTATTTGTATAAATATTTATTGTGAAAAAGTTACAATAAGTATGGCTTGCACAACTTTAAACTAACTATTTTGAAAATTGGAAACATGTTCAAAAATATTTACAATATTTAAGTGCAATTTCATAAATATTTATCACAGGAAAGATTAAATTCAAGAATGAATTTATTTATAAGTAATATACAAGGTGTGCATTACAGATCGTCAAAATCGCAATGGTAACTAAATTAAAATAGTCATGGAATGTAAAAAAACTATTTAGTAATACTGTAGTAAATATTAATATTAGTAATTTAATAAAATACCAAACAGAATTTTGTTAAATTGATTAATTACTCGTGTTAAAAAAGTTATTTAACAAATTTTCCAATGGCAGTTCCGTTTTTTTTTTTGAGTATTTATATTTATAAAGCGAAAAACTGTACGTAAAAACAAACTGTTCACTAAAATATTGTCTACACCGGTAAAGCATTGCCTTCATAAACATCTTCAAATAATTTTCAAATGCTTATATGAAAAATAGATTCGAAAGATCCGCGACAAAAGGTCTAAAAGTGAGACCAGTAACTACTAAAATTAGAACAAATTAAACACAAATCAAAATCAATACACACGATTGATTACTTATCATCACTGATGATGAGTAAAGCATACAATAATGACCTAATGTAGTTTTGTAACAACGTTCGATTTTCGCGACAAAAAACGTATTTTATCTTAATTTTCCATTGCATTCATAGCGTCTGTAATGAAAAATGTAACAAAAAACTTGGTTAAACATTGAATTACATCAACTGTATTTTCCAAAAAATTTTGTTGTAGAAAAATCCAACTACTTCAAAACGAAACATGCAACATTTAATATATCATTTTATGTATCTTTAAAATTTTCCCCAGTCTTTGTTTAACTGTTTTCATTCCCTTACGTTGCCTGGATGTATTTCCTAGAATAGAGAAAGGGATGGCACTAATGCTAAACATGTTAATTTTATTAAAAATTAATTACCTGATGATGATGTACTGGGACCCGCAATACCCGATAATGGATTTGAAATACCACTAGTTGATGGTTTTGAAGTAGGTTTAGGTTTGATCTTTTTTCTTTTATACTGTCGCTTAGGAGCCTAGAAATTAAAAAACATATTTACAAAGACAGCTATTAAAACAAACAATTTAAAATTGTATACTTTTTCGGGTACCTCCGATGCTCTTTTTGCTGCTGCTGCTTCTAGGACTTTTTCTACTGCCTGCTTTTTTGTTCCTTCCCTGGCAGGTCTGTTCATTTTTGGTAAAAGAGGCCCTACTTTTGCTTTTGGATTCCACGACTCGTCAATTTTAGAGCGTCCACGTGGTTTAAAAATGTGAATCTCTTCATCATCAGAATTATCTAAAGAGGGATATACTGTAACGTAAATGTAAAATATGATAAAGAAAATGTCCTTGGCTTCTGTTAAAAAATGTAAAGGTACAACAAACTGTTACAACTATTTCTATCAAACAACAGCACATACCATAATCTTCATCTTGATGAACATTAGTTAAATTTTCTTCATCATAAGGCGGACTTGAGGCATTACGTGACCCACGTGAAGAACTATTACCGGGTTGTAAGTAGCTTTGGCCGATTGATAACATCCCTTCTATAGCATCTTCTGTTGATGGAGATGTTCTTCCTGAGTTACCTATTATTTTGTGAGTAAACGCTGACGCTTTAAGCAAAGATTCGATACCATTCTTTGGTAGACCACTATTCACATTCCCATGTGAAGTATTACGACATCTTTTATTCGTTTTTACTGGGTTTGAACACACTGAAGCTGAATTATGTTATTAACAAAATACACATTTACACGAGCGTAATTATTCTTACTGGGTATCTTCATTTTAATGGATTGTTTTGGGGGATTTTCATCTATAGTCAATCCATCAAAATCTTCTCTATCATTATCATCGTTGAAGTCATATACTGACTTAGGTTTTTGAGAAATTAGAGAATACTGTTCCGGATGAATAAAAGTATCTATATTATGAGAAAATACGTCCTTTGCCCTAAATTGATTTGTAGTTTAGCTCGTAAAATAAAAAAGTTATATTATCTATTTTACCCTAATTTAAATTTTAAAACAGCTCCGCCCCTGTGAACAGCTGTGGTTTGTTCTTGTCTTCCAGAATTACCCCAAAAACTTCCTGAATGTGAAGGGGCCTCCATATTAGAGGCGGACAGTCGTTCATAAGGATACATTGCAGTTTTAGGAAGTGTTAGTTTGATAGGGGAAGTGACAGGTGGTTTAGTTATTTCAGGTACAGGTTCCATTGGTAATAGAAACTGAAATTATTGAATTTGTTGTGTCGAAATGCTTTCATAAATTTACACAATATTAAACTTACATCCTGCGATGATTTCGGTGAAAGAGAATAATCAATGAAGTCTTTATTAATAGGACGTTTCCTCTTTCGTTTCGATTCTCTTTCAGGCTTAGGAGGATTCAAAGAGCTCAAATATCTCTCTGCATGTCGGACTTCTCTTGCAATGTCTTTTAGAAACTTAGTGGAACTGATAGTTTCAGGAATTTGACTTCGTGAATTAAGATCATACTGGGAGAGAAAATTAATGAAAAATTAATAACATTGATATAGGTATAATAGAGCTCACATCTTTATCTGCGTTCCATTGCTTCAGTGAAGATAAAAGCGATTTTAAACCACTTAATAGGCTACTGGGGCACTTTTTCTCCTCTAAATTTAATTCTGTAAGCTTCTCTAACAAGTTCTGAGCGGCAAACCAGTTAATTGTTTCAAAATAGGGAAACCGAAATTTTTCTACAGTTTTAATTTTTCGTTCTATATCATAAACCCTTAAAGGAAAATTTTAATTACTGGAGTCATATAAACAATAACACTCAAAATTATAATTACTGCAACTGCATAGGAATATTCATACTATGCAAAAAATTTCCTCCAAAAACCAATGAATCGATTGGAGTAAAGACAGCATGAATCCAGCCTGTTGGTATAAGCATTGTTTGCCCCTGTCTTAATGTACACTTGTAGCACATATCAACCTAGCAATTATAAATAATTATAAACAATAAAAGTAATATAGTTTATATAAAAATTAATATTAAGTAGATATTTACCTGATCTGCAAAAAATGTTTCACTTTGATTACTTGAAGTCATCCACTGCTGATAAAGTGTAAGATTAGCCATTGTGGGTTTGATAAAGTAGAATATCTTTTCCCCTCTCAAAATATGGTACCATACACTGGTACCTCCAAAATCGATGTGAAAATCTGTGTATGAATCCTTTGCACTCATTAAACAATATTTTTGTACTTGAGGTGCTGGAATTGAATAACTTCTTGGCCAAACTGTATTCACCCAATCCATTTTTCTTGCTATTAAGGGAGCTTCAACAAGCCTTGCCATCCTAAAGTATTCAGAACTCTTAACTGTACAGTAATTTAAAATAAAATAACTCACGGTGTGTCTGAAAATTCTAAACTAACAACATTGAAAATTCTGGTACGATTTAGTGAATTAAAGTATGCAACAAAATCTCTTAATTTCATTCTAATGTCAGACTGACGTGTAACATCTATAACATCCAACTCTGTATCACCACCGACATATTGTTCTACATCATACAAACTAAAATTATCTGGGGGTATTGTCATGCTCAGACCATCTTTGTTATCAACAACTATGGGGTTATTGAAACCTTGCTGGCTGAGCACAGCTTCTGTTAGTTGTTGCCCTCTCATGTGTAAAACAACATCACCTTCACATAAAAAGTGTCTAGACCTCAGCTCTCTAATAAATGCTGCTGTTCCTGTCTGGACAGGTTTATCAGCAGCATTAGGGTCCCAATAATCATGTCGATGCCAATTTAGATAAGGTTTATCTTAAAAATATCAAAATTAATATCAGCAAGTTCATTATCAAGCTCAATTTAAATTAACACTTACAAACAGATGGACCGTATAAAGGCATACATCGTGGACAATGATATTTTTCTATTTCTATGGCTGTGTATTCTTGAAAATTGCAGCAACTATTGTAGAAATTTAATAAGAAATCAATTCATAACACTTAATTAACAAATACTATACCTGCCATGGAACCAATCTTTACAAGCATCACACTGTATCATAAATACATTGGGGTCATATGGGCGACCACATAAACAATATACAGCCTCCATAATTTTCATTAAGACTTGCAATATTCCGTGATTATTTTTGTATGTTTCAATTTATATGCATAATGTATTGATGTTATTATCTACAATTTTTTTAAAGCATGAAGTAAATTTATTAATATAAGAAACAGCGTACGTAAACATTACTGTAAATTACTTACAAAAAATATAATGGTAAAGGCTTCACAAAAACAGCATTTCGTGTAAATTCATAACAATTTGTAAATATTATTTTTAAGGTTCAATTTCAAATCGAAGCTACTTAATAAGAATAATGATTCCGAACGAATGTTAGTGATTACAATAATCAGTAAATGTTGTGGCTTCTTAAATGTTGTTATTTATCTTCACCTAATTTAATTTTATTTCATTTTTCGGAAATAAAAGCCTTTGCAATAGTTTGTAAACTAAATTTGACATTTTGACGTAATACACTGAGCTGTCAATGTTTGTAGTTTGGGTACACCATCTTCATTTAGCTTGATTAAAATAAAATGTACAGTTATATTCAATAAATGATTATATTAAATTGTTATTTAACAACCAACACTGTTATTTGTTGATTATTTTAGCAATAATGCAATTGGTTTTGATTAAAAAGGTACTTGTTATGCTTAAACTCACAATGAGATGAGTTCTCATTTTCTTTGCATATAGCTGTACATATATTTTATATTAAGAAAATTATGTACAGTAACATGCAGAACGAATGATATGGCAAATACTTAAAAATATTCAAAAATTAAACAAGAAATTGATAGTACATGAACATACGAATAATTAATTTTTTAACTTTGAATGAATATTCATAGAAATTTTTTTCGGGCAGATTTTATTATCAAACATAGTTTACCTCGAAGTATGGCATATTTAGGGGGTGGTAATGATAATCGGATAAATAATACAACAACATAGTTTGCTCTTTCAGTTTATTGACTGCAGCATTAATAGATAATAGAATAATACAAAATAATTCGCCATATCCAGATGGATTAAAAAAATCCAGACCCCACACTAAGATTCCTTTTATATTGTCGTATTTTCTGTACCATCACAGAATACAATAAGTTCATTTTTTTTTTTTTTAATATAATAGAACATGCACAAGTCAGTATACTAGGAAAGGTATACATATAAACATCAAAGAGTTCTTTTTAAAGTTAAGGTGTACATGAATGGGTCTATACAAGATATTTACACTAGCATTTGCTGGCCCTGACACTTTTTAGTGTAAATATTTATTGTACATCCCTATATTAAAATAGAATTGGCTTAGTTATTGTCATTCTTTATTTTATATTAGGCCTAAGATAAATCGATATCGGATTTTAATATGTGTAAACTGCATTTTTTATTGTCAACCGTCATCACCGTTACATATATGTATATATATTTTTTACTGGTTGAATATAGTCCAATTGTTAAATTGTTTATAAACAAAAAGGATCCGCTCATGCTTAGTTACTTGCTAATACAATGTTGTTAGGTCTAATTAAATGCTGATTATTTGTCATAAAAATAGGACCATTTTTCTTTCTCACTAATAATAGGTACAGCACGTATCAAAATAGTCTTCAATCTATAAAAAAAATCAGCCAGGATTACCAGGATCCATTCTATTTTAACTTGAAGAATTAATTTTGAAAAACAAATGAGAATTTGTGAAGTAGAAAAATTTAATTTATTTTCTCGCTATTAAATTTCGAACAAACAAAACAAAATGTAGAGGTTCAACTTTCAAAAGAATGAAGGTTTTTGACGTTAAATTCATCAACCGTACGGTACTGAATAAGTAAATTCTGAATCCGATATTAATTAAAATTGGATCTGCTAATCCTAATAAGTCAACTTCACAGTCGCCTACTTCTACAATTTCGTACAAGGGGAAGACGAAAACTACGATTAATGTTTTTTCCTTTTTTGTCATGAAGTAAATTGAATACAAATACATTATATAACAAGTTGAATATGATATAGATATTTCCGATATGTCATTCTAAAAACTGAAGAGGAGGATTATATTTATGGAGAACGCCTTATAAACAGTGGTATATTAGGGGAGTCGGTAGCAATTTTTCTGAAACTTTCTTTAGAATTGACCTCAGAGATTTTAATCTACTAGGTTTCTTTGTAAAATTAAATTTATTCAAGTTTCAGTCTCGAAGTTTGTGTGTTTCTTTAAGAACACTCCTTTTTTTAATCTCCTGCATATAAAACGTAGAACTTTGCGAAGTTGCTGTAGTAATTCTTTGAAAAGTTCCAGTAAAATCGATACCGAATTCAAATATTCAATCTTAGAGTAGCATTTCACACAAGTTTTTAAAAATCTTTGCTTGAAACTTCCCCCGCAAATGAGAAAGGAGTTACGAACTGGTAGAATAGTTTAAAAAAAAAATAATAAAATAAGACCACCCATCAGCTTAGCGGAGCAACTGGCGCCATTCATGCTTTTCTTGTTGGTAATATAATTCCCACCCTCAACACTTCGAGACTTGTTGAAACTCAGGCCAGTATTGATCGCATTTTTGCAACAGGTTATCTACAACTTCCCATTTTCATTCATGTTCTCAGTGTGAATGTAAATTTTTTAATATATAGCTACTACAATGGCGAAGATATGTTAGAAGTAAAAACTTTTTCTTTTGATATCAATTTCCCTGATAGTTATTCGAAATAGCGTTTATGATGTTAGAATACTTTAAATGCGTACATCATAATGTTGAAAGCGTTTTATACATTAGATAATATACAATATGTTCCGAATTGGTGCTGCTTTTACGAAAAAAAAAAAAAAAATTTGACAAAAATACCTAGTCCATGTGTTAGATAATATTTTATAACGGGCTACAAGTAATATTTCCTTATATTAGTTTTAACAAATTTGTATTTACCTAGCCATTAAAATTTTCACAGCCTATCTATTCATTTGGAAAAAAAGTTAAGGGAAGAAAATTTAATTCAATTTTAAGTAACCCATTTTTCTTTGATATGCATTTTCAGATTGAAAATTCATTCGTTACTATTTTCTAAATCGCGTTCGCAATGATTATAGGTAAACAAAAACGTTATTGTCGTCCACGTCGGCCCGAAAAGGCCTTCTACAAATTTATCGTATAAAACAGGCAGCACCAATTTTGAATATTCTACGCAACAAAAAAGCATGATTTTCGCTAAAAACCGTTTCAATATTTAAGTAAGTGAAAACCTTGAATTTTGCCTGTGATTGTTTATCAAAAATTGGATAACAACTTCAGAAGGAATATTCAAGGATTTTACTTTCGGAGGATATGTATAATGATTGAATGGCATTCTGACAAGCTGAACGGCATCTTTTGTAACTGGAATTGAACATGTTTTTGGGTCAAAGGTGAACAACTTTTGCAGTACAGATTATCAGAATAGTCAAAAGTTATAGTTTTGCCAGTTAATTCTGCTATCTCATTCTAATCAGTCAATGTTCTAAAGAACTAAGCACGTTAAGGGTCAATATAACAAATTAATTAAATCCATTTTACATATAGATACAGGTGCAGCGCAGAAGTCTTCTTAAAAAAGAATACTTCCCTCCAATATTCTCTATTTAAAGCGAAAAACCATCCATGTCATTCTGAAAATTACACCCAAAATAATATTGTATTTTCAATTTAATTTCGCGTCAATTCGCTAATCAAATGAAATTAACAGAAAATATCGATGATATGGAACTTTTTAGGGTCCAAAAATATGTATAAATAAGTAAATAATTTTAAAAATAAATTAGTGGAAGTTCAACCCAAATTAATGTTTTCGTAATGACACACAGATTGATTTGTTTGCGAAGATTATTAAACACGAGCCGCCACTGAAATAAACATTTTGAAAAGGATTATAGAATTTCTCAGGGAAGTCGTACATGTTATTAATATACACGAACACAAAGAAAATCAGTAGGCAGCAGCCGTGATGATAAACTTGACAAAATGGGAATTTCGATTAATTTAATAACTTACGTTGAGGGAGCTCATATCATAATATGAAGACCTGTGTGACTTGTAATAGGGTATTTCCTTGCTGTAGTAGTCTTGTGGTTGATATTCTTCTTGAGAAACTCTGGCAGCTTGTGCTAAGATATCAGGAAATGCTACAATTCCTTCTCGCACCGGGTAATCACTTTGTTCGTCGTAGTTATATTCTG